ATTAAGAGTATTTATCGCTTGACCCATAGTTTTGTGTTCAGTTTCCTCCATCAAATCTCCTCTCGGACCTCTCCCTTATCTATAAATAATAAGAAAAACGTTACAAACTTTATGTTCTTTAATTTGAATTAACTTATGTTTTTTGGGCAAAAGTTTGAATTGGCTACTTCCCAATCTAGTCTTCTTGGTTTTGAATGGACCGGCTAGAAAGATTCGAAACAAGTTTTAAGGGAAGCCACCGAGATGCTAGCGGCCCCTAGAAGATGAGCATACTATTCTCAAATTTTGGTCTTACAAATAGGGTTTTGAATGGTAATAAAATGTTGACTAGAATATGTTAGAATTTTGGATTCAGATATAATAACTTTTTGTCAAATTTATGTCATTTGGATTGAATAAATGAATAGTCAAAGAAAATAAATAAGCAAGAGTGTGCAAAATGAAAAACAAGTGTTTGTGGGAATTATATTCCTGAGAAAATAAGGCTCAAAATAATTTTGAGCTTGAAAACAAAACACTTAAACCCTAAACGACGGTTTTTAGATGAAATTTAACATTTTCGTCTATGAAGTTGTTGACCCTAAAAATTACAAAGCCTACGTGGCACACAGGCCGAATAACTAATAAGCTAACTTCGTCCTTCAGTTGAATGCGGGGCATGCCAACTCGTCGGCCGAGCTCGGCCTAGGAGTAAAATTTGTTGATGTTGCGTTGAGCGCGTTGCTGACTTCTTTATCTTGTGACTGCGGCCGAGAAAGGAACCATTCTTGTCCTTTGGATTTTCGAGCCTGAAGACAAGGCTGCTAGTTCTGCGAAGTAACAAATCGTCGGTGCCGGACTCGGTCACAGTGATTATATTCGTGAGAGTATAAGCACGTCGAATTGACACCACATTGTACAGACACAAGTATTCAAAGGTGATGTATGTCTTGATGGTGAATGTGGTTCGGCCGTCAAAATGCCGAACTCTAAAACTCACTTGTGAGTATCCAATCATAAAATCACTCGGCGTTCAATGCGCCGAATGTTGTAACACCTTACTTCGCCGTGAAGGCTAATAAGATGACCTCTGCCAATAAGGATTCGGAAACCCGCATCAACCGAGACTTGGATAGGTAACCAGTCGGCCTCGACGTAGTGCTATTTATTCAAACTGAAGGTGCTCCTTGGTCGGCTAATTCTACGGCAATAGTGTTGTTTATCCAAACTGAAGATGTTCTCCAGTTGCCTTCATAGTGCTATTTATCCAAACTGAAGATGTGTCATCAACCGAGACTTGGATAGGTAACCAGTCGGCCTCGACGTAGTGCTATTTATTCAAACTGAAGGTGCTCCTTGGTCGGCTAATTCTACGGCAATAGTGTTGTTTATCCAAACTAAAGATGTTCTCCAGTTGCCTTCATAGTGCTATTTATCCAAACTGAAGATGTGTCAGCGGAAAAGAGAAAATAAAAAATCTCAAGATGTTTGAGAGGTGTTGCGCAGGGCAATTGTGTGTTGAATTGGAGGTCCTTCAATTGTTGCATGATGTCTTGTATTTATAGCACCAAATCCTCCTTGAGATCAAGTCAAAATCATATTTGGATTGGGACTTTTTGTTTTGTTCCAACTCCACTTCGACCAATCCTACCCCTATTAAGACTTTGAACTCACCCCCTTTTTGAGACTATATTCATTGTTGGTCGAGAATCCAAATTGCACTAGGACTTCTTCGACCCCTTTGCTTTTCTGAACTACTCCTTCTTGGGATAGGACTCAACCATCCTTACCGAATGGCTTGGGAACACCAAGCAACTCATAGTATATTTGAAACAGCTTTGGGCCGAGCATAAACCTACACTAGGCCCAACAATATTATTTTGGGCCTAAACAGAAGTGCTTTGGTTCGTTATCAATTTTTCAACAAAGGGAACAATGAACAACAATGAGTGGAGGAGCATTAGGTTATGGACAAAGTTGTTTCCGATTATTTATTCTCCATTTTGGTACCAAACAACACATTTTAGGAAAGATGAACCATCAACCCAGATAATTTGGCCATACGATTCCTCTTAATGCTTCTTTGGTCAACCCACTAAGAAACTATAAGGTTAAGAATCTACTTCACGGGAATATATCAGTGGAAACTTGGATGCACAATCTCATGAATATACAATCGTGTTACTCGATATAACATACCTTTGAACTACCAGATAATTCTTTCTTCAAGTTTGCAAGATCATCGTCAATTGAAGAGCTCTATAGCAACGCTAACTGCAATTTTGGTGTAGGTCTGGAAATGGTAAGAAATCAATTTTCAGATGAGAAAAAAAAAATCAAAAGCATGAAGAAATGATATCCCCACTATTATCCCTTAGGCAGATGGTATGCGTGCAATTATCACATCAAAATGCGCAAGTTTTGTTGCTGGGACAGAAGCTACGGTACAATTGGAAGAATGTAGCTGGTTTGCAAAACATTTGTCAAACACGATGATCCAATCCTTCTTTGTTTACATTTACAAACAAGAGCTGAAGAAATATAATCAAAATCAAATCAGTGATTCAAAATTTTGAATTGTCCAATGAAAACTATCAATCTTTAATTTCTATTGGCATTTAACTGTACTCAGCTTCTATATCAAGAACTACTAATAGATGTTTGAAAAAGTTAAAAAACAAAGAACCAATTAATCCTCTTTTCTAAGATCATTCATGGTATGTTATAATTTATAACTGTGTTCTCATGGGTATGTGTGAATAACACTTCATAGCTAATATGTGTGAGTCGGGCACATGTACGTGTAATTGAAAGGGTTAATAGGACCTGGATAAAATAAAATAAAACGAGGGGTTATGTGGGGGTGGTTTAAAGGACCCTTAACAGCAGAATAGGGTCAATGACAACAAAGTTGAAATGGTTTCAGCAAAACAAGATGGAAATAGTCCTGACGTAATTTCCTATTAGTGTCCCTCCCAGCCCTCTCGTAATGACCCGCTAAACATCCCACTTTCCACCAATGCATCGCTATTGCTACATTACTACTGCCAGCCCATAGAGATTGAGATGGAGCAAGAATATCTATGTCATATTGTTCTTGAATAAGTCTCAATTGAGAGTTTATAACCAGCTCTTTTTGGGTCAGAAATTTCTAAATAGTTGAAGCTAATGCTTTCCCAATGCAAGGAGTACCGGACGAGACTAAATGAAGTAGCAATTGACACTTAGTGAAAAGAACATATTGTATAAAGAACTGGAAGCCAAATATACAGAGGGTCCAATTGGAAATGCTTCTCTAGAAAGCACTTCTTTTAGAGCTTCAATTGGAAGAACGTCGAAACATATAATCAAATGAATTGCTTCCGGAAAGGAAAAAAAAAAAGCACCTTTGCTTTTCTCTACCACCCATTGTCAGAAGAGCTTTTGGCTATTAGGATAACGCTTTCAACTATTCTAAAATAACTTCCAAACAGGCCCAAAGCAGATTCCAAACCCAATTGTTTTCTGAAAATCTAATTATTTATTCTCCCCTATTTCCCCACTACAAGTAGAAGATGGAACGTTTGCAAACACAAACACTATTCCCCATGAAATGTTGTCCCATTCCCCATGAAAGCCAGCCTTAGAAGCAAAGAAAACCCACTCTCCACTAAGCTCAATACAACTATTTGGATTCCCAACCAACCAATAAACAAGTCTCAAAACATTCAAAGCAAGTTGAAAAATTAGGGCAAACATAGAGTAACAACCAAGAGGCAGATATGGAAGTCCAATTGAAAATCTAAAAAATATGCATTAACTGAAAACTTCAGTAAAGCATAAGGCACACACCTCCGCCATTGAAGAAGGAAATCGTGAGAGGTTTTCTGACCATGGAAAGACTGTTGGAGCTTGAAGAAGAAGCTTGGAACAAAGAGGCAGGTGTCGACACCATGGTCAATGCTGTAAATATATGCAGTTTTGTGGCCATTCTGAGGGAGAAGTCAGTTGAAATGCTGCAAAATTTGATAGATAGGATTCAACAAGATGATGATCACTTCTCCAAGTTATTAAAATGAAGACTTTTTTTTTTAATACACCCCAATTTATTTTCAAATGTGAATTCTAAGATTTTCTTCTCCAAGTTTATAAAGTTTTGTTCAAAAAAAATAAATAAGTTCTCAAAGTCACTCCCCTTTCCTTGTAGAACAAAATCGTAACCATTAAAATTATAAGCTTGTTGAATCAACGTTTTCTAGTCTTCACATGACAAAAACCTACAACCAAATCAGAAGGTACTCATCTCATAATAAATCAAAGTCACCAAAACCTAAGCAACTGTGTTCTTTACAAATGCAATGAAGAAAGTTGAGGTTCCATCATAAAATCAATTGGCAATATGGGAAGTAGCTCAATCTCTTATAAGCCCATGCAAGGTCCTTTCTCCCATCAATGTGTGACTCATTCTCAACACGTCATCTCACATGTGGCGAATTTTCAAGCTTAACATGTGGACAACACAACGAGGTGACGTGGAGCTACTTAGCTTCACATGTGGGATAACTTGTTCCAATACCATGAAGAAAGTTGAGGTTCCACCATAAAACCACCTTTTAAAACCCTAATACCTTTATAGTCAAACCCACCATAACAGCAATGAAAACACATGGGTTTCCTAATAAAAAAAAACCCCTCACCTAGACTCATCGATGCGTACTGGACCCTAATCACCTTATGCAAAGTCAGTAAACACCCAAACTAGACTAGAACTAAATTCGAAAAGCACAACCGCTCAACACAAACACTACATATCGCTTTTTTTTTTGGTCAAATGAAAACTTCATTAAAGACCCAAAAAGGGACAGCAAGTACAAATAAAGGCTATGACAGCCCAAAGGCAAAACCTAGAATGAAAAAGAGAGTGCGGTTGATACAAACTAGGCAGTAGCGGAATACTGCCTAGACAATCAGACAAACATTACTGAACACCAATTAAGTGAAACAAAATAGGAAGAGGCTAATAGTGATACCACTATCAAACCTCAATCAAAAGATGGCGGAGATATGGAAGCCCATCCAGAGATAGCACCATAACCAATGAGGGAAGGGGGCAAAGTTGCCCATGAGAGATTGCTTACCTTCAAAATGGTTAAAGATGCAGCCACATGAGCTGATTGGTTGGTTGTTCTTGGAACCCAGTTCCACTGAACAAAAGCATAGGAAGTCGTTGCCCGACGAATTTCATCAATAATTCGATATAGAAACCATTGGTTACGAATGTCTGGTTTCCGCAAGCAATCGATGACCTTGGAAGAATTGCTCTTAATGATGATATGGTTGAAATATGTGGCTTTGGCAAATTTCAGACACCCAACAACAGCCTCTGCTTCGGCGGCATCGGATGAGGATCGATGTGAGTGTAAAGAAGCACCACCTAAAAAAGTACCATTGTGATCGCATGCAATAATCCCTGCACAAGCTTCATATGTAGCTTGATTCCATGCACCGTCGACATTAATTCTAATAAGAGGCCATTGAGGAGCTTGCCAAGAAAGAGTTCTCTGTACTACAGGATTTGCATGTAGCTGACGGCAACGATAGATGTTACTGAAGCCCGATACCAAATTGAGAATGCGATGCAAGACAGTAGCAGGTTTGGGGGATTTATCATTGAACAAAGCAAAGCATTGTTCCTTCCAAATTTCCCAGCAAGCAACAGCAAGGTAAGAAAGTAGGAGAGTGCGTTGTGCAGTGTTGGTTTTAACTAGTTTTGCCATTGAGAATAGCTAGCAATCCAAAGATGTATTTTGATGAGAGTTTGGATTGTAATTAATTGGTAGGCCAAACCACACACACTGTACCCACGAGCATAGAAGAAGCAAATGCTCGATCGATTCATCTTGATCCTCGCAGAAAGGGCAAATTGGATTCACATGTAGATACCTGCGAAAAAGATTAAATCTTCTAGGAAGAGCATTGTTTAAAGCACACCAAATAAAATTGAGAACTTTAGGAATTTGCCCTTTATCCCCTATAAAATCTTCCAAACCTCTTTATCAATCCAGTGAGAAAAGGATGTAGTGGTAGTCATAGAAATTCTTTTTTGTGATAATGCCCAATGATATCTGCTTTTACCTTATAGACACCATCATTGTTCCTAGGCCAGAAAAGAGAATCGTGATCATGAGTATTGTATAGTGGATTAACGCAAATGATTGCAACCTCTCCTAGTAAAGTAGAGTGGCTTGCAGGTTATTGATAGGAGCATATTTAGGCGACTTAACTAGCTTATTCTTGTGCATTTATGCTATTATTTCTTAGTTAATGTCGCATTACAACTCAATTTCGTGTGTTTGTAGGACCTATGGGGTAAAGTATCAAGAAAGGGCATTTTGGTGCATTTTGGAGCAATTTTGGACACTATGTGGATAGCTTACATTTGGGCTAACATGGATGGACGAATTTTGACTTCAAGAGGCTAGAAATGTGATAAGAAGAGGAAGGAATAAGCTTGGGACAAAGTGGATAAGGTTTTAGTGTCAAAGTATGCAAAAAGAAGCAATTTGAAGCATTCTAGAGCATTTTTGGGCCAAGATTGGATAGTGCAAGCATAAAGCATGAGGCTGGACGAATTTGAAGGCTTGAATTCAGTTAAGGAGCTGCAAGGGGGCCTAAAAACCTTATTTCTAGAAGGCTTTATCTATTCACACATGGTGCCTAATTTCTGTATTGGAAGAACTAGCCGTCCTACCTTGTCTCCTAGCCGTCCTAGCTTGTCACTAGCCGTCCTACCTTGTCTCCTAGCCGTCCTACCTTGTCTCCAAGCCGTCCTACCTTGTCTCCTAGCCGTCCTAGCTTGTCACTAGCCGTCCTACCTTGTCTCCAAGCCGTCCTAGCTTGTCACTAGCCGTCCTACCTTGTCTCCTAGCCGTCCTACCTTGTCTCCTAGCCGTCCTACCTTGTCACTAGCCGTCCTACCTTGTCTCCTAGCCGTCCTACCTTGTCTCCAAGCCGTCCTAGCTTGTCACAAGCCGTCCTACCTTGTCTCCTAGTCGTCCTACCTTGTCTCATACCTTGTCCAAGCCGTCCTACCTTGTCCAAGCTACACACTTGTATCCCTTAAGTGTTTCATGTATATATATCCTTGTAATCTTGTAGAGAAAAGGGAGGAAAAAAAGCATTCTCTTCCATATTTTCCACATAAACCTTTCCTAGCCCTATAAATAAGGCTTTGCAACAAGGCATTAGGGGGATCACTCATTCACCCAATTTTCGTCCATTCATCTAGCCATACCACTCTACACATCCATACACTTCTGCCGCACCCTTCCCCACCATAATCAACCATCCTCCATCCCTCTAAACAAGGAAAAACCATCCAAAACCACCAATTCCAGCACTTACACTTTGTGCCGCAGCAAGGAGGAGGAAGAGGAGCCAATCTATGCATCGAATCCATCTTGGAATTGCTGAGCATTTAGGTGTAATCTTTCTTATGATTTCAATGTTTAAATTCAATACTTTTTGTTGTGCAAGCATGAGGAACTAATCCCCCCTTTGGCTAGGGGGGAATTTCAAAACCATGGTTGTATTTGCATGATGATTTGATTACTTTCAGTTGTGATTTCATGAATGTTGAATTCAATTTGCTTATCTATTTTAATTAAAACTTGCTTATGTATATGAATTGAGAGTGCACGCTTGATTTGCATGCATAAACATGATGCTAGGGTATGAGGGAACTTCACCTAATCGTTGGGAACTTATATTCATGAGTAGTTAAGATTGTTGGTCACAATTATGATAAGTGAATTCTTGGCATAAGTATCATGCGCTTTCATAGTTACGAATGCCTCGTCAACACCTATGATTTCCATAGAATCTAATGATCTTTGATTGTCTTTCTTTTATGCGCTTTCGTATAGAAAACTTTTGAGGAATAATTTGATTGCAATGCGCCAATTCCATTCAATTCAATGACCTAAGGGAAATCTGAGAGTTAATTTAAGCGTACCTAATTAACTTGGGGTGTTAAGGTTCATGAATTCATTGATTAAACAACTGGAAATTGTATTATGTGCAAGTATGCCATGTGTGGAGAAAAACCTCCTAGCCATCTCACCATCCACTTAATTCCATCAAATTCGTCCAAATCTGCCTAGTTTAATTTCTTGTTTTGTTTTGTTTATTTTCGTCCAAAACCAAATCCCCATTTATTCTAGAGTGTCTAATTGGTCCAAATATGTTTTAGATTGTGTTTTTGAGAGTTTTGAGTCAAGTTAGAACCAATTTTCGTCCAAATTTGTGTTTAGGCTCAAAACTGCCCAGATTGTGTTTTTAAGGCAGTTTTGAGTGTCTTTAGCCTATTTTGAGTCTTGTGAACGTGTTTGAGTCTTTCTACGTGAGTTTAAGTGTTTGAAAGGTTAATTTTATTTATTTGAGTCAGTTTAGAGTGTTTAGCAAGCGCTCCTAATCCCCGGTGTAAGAACGATCCCTACTTATTTATATGCTACAATTGTCAAAAGAGGGTTAATTTGTGTGTTAAGTTAATTTTCGCATCAGTTATGTCAAACACAGGCGGCTCCCTCGATTGTGGAGGCGTTTTCAATGACTGACAGGAGTGGAGTGCCCATTTCTCTAAAGTCCAAGCTTATGAAGCTTGCACTTAGATTTGGCAAACGGATCGTGTTTATTATATTCGTTATTATAACGGGTTGTTTAGTGTCATACCCATTAATAGGTTCTTAACGGATGATCTGATAACGACCCGAACCGTTAACGAGTTGATACAGAACCTGCTATTCTCGTGTTGTTTCATGTCAGATTAACGGGTCATGCAATAAATTGTCATGTCTAATAGGTAGACTTGCAAGTAGGTTGTATTTGGCTTGTTCGTATCGTTTTCGTGTCGTACCATTATGTTAACAGATCGTGTCGATGGTGTGAAGGGTCTCACACATTTGCCACATAAGCAATAACATAATCTAGACCAGTGTTCTAAAACACGGTCTGAGCGGTCGTCTAGGCGCTGGGCGTCGGGCCGCCGCCGCGATTATTTCAAAAACGTTCAGGAAATTGGCATGGGTATTAGGCGGTGCCTGGGCGGGCTAGGCATCGAGCTAAGCGGCCTTCGCAACGGTTTTGTTAAAAATTTTCGTCTCACTACACCGCGATGGTGACAAAAGAGAAATCAAGAGAGCGTGAGGGAACAGCAAACGTGAGAGAGATATGTAGAAGGAATTAGAATAACAATGCAATTGTAGAAAGAAAGAAAGAAAGAAAGAAAGAAAAAAAAAAAAAAAAAAACGAGAACTTTGACCTAGAAGCCCAAATTTCTTCGCCAGAGAGGATTTCTTCAATGTGCTTGAGGAAATTGACTGGACTCGTGATTAGGTTTTGGAAAATTATACAGAGCAAGAAGATGGGAATTAGGCGGAGAGATGGGGAATCAGGCGGAGCAATCGAAGAAGAATGAAGGGAAAGGAAACGAGAAACTTAATTAGGTGGAGAAGATAGGGAATCAAGCGAAGCAATCGAAGAAAAAAGTGAGAATTTACAGAGGGAAAATGGAAAGAAGAAGAAGAAGAAGAAGAAGAAGAAGAAGAAGAAGAAGAGGGAACAGAAAGAAGACGAAGAGGATGAGGAAAAGGAAAGAATACAAAAGAATAGAAGATTCTGGTTTTCAAGGCGTCAAAATGGACTCCCTGGTTTGGGAGTCTCTGACTGCCTTGGTTGATGTAAGGCATGGGTCTTGGCTGATGTGAGGCACGAGAAGTTGGGAACTAGGGTTTGAGGGAAGGGGTCACGCCACACACGTGGTGCTTTATGAAATGGGAAAGGATGCATATGCACCTTTTCAGAATTCTTTTTATTATGAACCACCTAATCAGATTTTTACTTTTAATCTTTAAAAATTAGATATAGTCATTTAAAATGTCTTAAGTTATATGGTATATATGCTTAATATGTTTTTAAATTCTAGACTTGCTAGATATTTTATTTGCATTTTATCATTCTTTTATTATTTTATTTATGTATTTCATACAAGTATAATTTTTTGTAAGTGTCAATATGCACTTATTTACAAGATATACAAGAAATTTACCTAAATCCGCCTAAACCCCGCCCAGCCGCCTAGACGCTAGGCCCTAACCCACTGCCCGACTAGCGTCTAGCGTTTTTTAGAACCTTGATGTAGACAATTTGGGACGAAAATCGAGTTTCAAGATTCATAGGGAAAGTGGAATCAAGTTTGAGTTTCAATGGAATTACAAAAGCCTTTTTAGGAGAAACAAAGAACCAAAACTGAAAATAAAAAACAGAAGAGGTTAGTTGCTCACTGCATCTCAATGTTTCATTAAATAAATTCTTCGACACAAAATAAAAACTAATTTGATAAAATTACATACGACCTCAAACTGAAAACAATACAAAATTCCAAAAATACATGTGGCAAAAGGACTAGCTTGGTCTAGGCTTCACAGCTGCAAGGGAGACAGACATAGAGAGTGTGCTCTTTGCCCTTGCCGGTCTGGACTGCCGCCTTCTTCGTATCCACTTTTAATCTCTTTCCATGTTCGTAATATTGATCACAATTTCTCTTCCCCGTTCTTCTCATCTTTATAACCTGCTGCCCTCCCACTCCTCCCAATAAAATATGGTTCGGGAAAGGAAGTCTCGTAATGTATATCTAGACCCTGATATGATCGAGTCGCTAAAAACTCTGCACCCGATTTAGCCGTTCCTTTCACTACAGAACTAGGGTTGTCGCGCAATTGCAGAGCCTTCTCTGTCGCATTTGCTAAAGCAAGAGCTCCTTCCTTGTCTTCCTCAGTGCCATTACCTGTTTATGCAACGTTTTCAGAACTTTCAAGTACAAGATGTCTACCGTAAAAGGACTTTTTGTAGAATGAAAAGTTAGTCCCACAGTAACTCAATGAGACCAAAATAAAGCGAACTACAGACAACATTCATACATACCTCATCAGTTCATCAATAAAATTAAATTTCCCGAAAATTATCTTAAAAGGATCATGATCAAGATCAAGTTAACCATTAATGTAATTAACAAGCAGTTAAGCTTCGTATTTCCTTCACTTTTAATGAGGAAGGATGTTCAGCACACATAGATTTAAAGCATGATCAATTAACTTTATCTTTCTTAAAACCAATCTATGGGGGAAGAAAAGTAAATTCATTCATCTTTATTCCACTTTTAGGCACTGTTTGACAAAGATCTAATACAAACTCCACAAATGTTCTTTAAAAGGGGGAAAAGAAGGGAGAAGGTGTCAAGATGCTGGCAGTATTCTTCTTTTCTCAGAGTAGTCGAAGTCTAATATTTTTTTTTTTATTTTTTTTTTTTAAACTCTTACGTCAAACAAATTGCATAAATTAGAATAATAATAAAAGAGAGCTACCTTGCAGATGGAAATCTTCTACATAACCACCTTGTATGAAGGAAAATCGTGCTTCCTCAGACTGGATCCTTATATCCACTGGAGAAGAACTAACCAAATCGCGGAATTCCATTACATATGCTCCAGTCCACTCACATCCTCTGTGGTGAGAGAAACTGAACATTGAGTATCACAACTATAGAGCTAATCAATTAATATTCTCAAGTTTGTAATTTAAATGCACATCTAATGAGAATTGCATAACAGACAATCTCATATGAGCAACAATTAGTATGTAGCAAGCAGTTCAAAAGATAGTAGATAAAAGTGGAACTGGTCTATCATAAGGAAAATGATTGAGCACACGGTGTATGAAAATAGAAAGGATACACCAATTCTATAATCTATGAGCATGACCGTACTCAATGCAGTACCTGTTGAAGGCTATCATGGCTTCAAAAGGAGTAATTACTGGAGCTAAATATTCTTTGCTATCCAGAAGAGCAGTTTGAGCGCAAGAGACATAAATGAAAACATCACACTGCCACAGTAATAATCTATCATTAACATTTTGAAACTTTCAAATATTTTAAATTCCCTATGAACATATACTTGCATGTATCAAAGTTTACCTCTGGAAAGTTTGCAAGTTTTGCAGGGTTTGGTCTCCCCATAACTAGGGTATAAACTTTTTTTCCTGCTCCTGTAATCAGCTCTTTCATCTGATGAATCATGCTCAGGTAACCAGCTGCATCATAGTTGCAAGAAAAGATTAATTAACGAAATGCACAATCAAGAGAGTGATCCCAATACAAATGAAAGTTATTTCTTTATGTTTTTAAAAATGTCCGAGGATAATGAAATGTAAGATGCGGTTATACAAAGTCCATGTATGGTACATACTAAAATGTACAGAGATCAAAATACAATAGTTTTTAACTGTGCCATCTTAGTGCTAAAATGGAAAAAAATAAAACAAATCCTTTCATCACCAGATTGCGGTTTGAAATGGAAAAGGGAAAGAAAAAACTTTCCAGCATACACACAAACATTGCTGGTACAATGTTAAATCAAACCGACTGTTCACTTTCCAATTCAATATTTTCAGAATATATCATTCTTAACATAGCATTTGGAGTCGATATTCAAAAACTAGAGAAGAACACAATATCATAATTACTTCAGTTTCTAGCTTCTACAGATGGAACAAGTAAAAATTTGAAAAACATTAAAGAATCTCGGAACAATAACTCACCTACACCAAGGGTTCCTACTAAGATCCCCACGATGTTAGCATCCTTTGCTTTCTCCATTAGGTAATATCTGGACAAAAGATTGATCACTCAATAAACCATACTAAATACAAGCATGAGAATAGAATACATGGTGGAAGGGACAAAACAATTTATCATGTCACAAGGGAATTATTATGCTTTTAAGAGCAGAGATTAGCGGACACAGGAAATTGAATGATTATTTTGGAGACAATACCTGCGCTTAAGAATCCTTCTTTGTTGAGATAAGTCAGTCACCATACTGCATTCCGAGGCATCATATCTGACTAAACAATAACCACAAAAATCACTTGCAAGATTAATTAAGAAAGATTGAAGAATCAAAACAAGCGCATAACAATTTTTTAATACCGGGTACTTTAAGAGGATTAACTTTCAAACTTGGTTTCCAGTAATGAATCAAGTTGCCACCAATACAGAGAAAATTATGATACAAAAAATATATTCTGTAAGTTCCTACTGCCGGAGAATCATGAGTGCAATTGCATGGCCAGAATTCATTACCAATTAAAAGGACTCCATCGTACTTTGACAAACAGGACTTGAGGAAAATTTAGTTACTTTAGGCAACAATCTTTTTTCTTATCAGAATTTATGTCTGAACTATGGGCACATAAGTAGGAAAACAGTTTGATTGCCTCAGTCAAAAAAGAAGAAAGGGGAACACACACACACACACACACACACACACACACACACACACACACCGACACACGTATGCATACTCAAACACGCTGAATTAAATGAAAAAGAAGTCATTTATGTACCTATTTCACATCCATTATATGTTAAAACAATATTTGCAAAGGCAGAGTTATTTGAACCAATCCAGAAAAGTAAATAATCCTCCATCTTGCGTCCCTCAGGTAATTTCCAGACCAAGCCTCCAATGCTATAAGTAACACTAGACGTTGTCCCAAAACTGGTATCATCAGTGAGGCTGCCAGCTGGTCCTGGGAGCTCATTTGAGAGTTTACGATCTTTTGATGGATTCATAACTGAACACATAACATTAGCATATTGAACTTCTGGTTTGGACCCAACCCCACATGCTTGTACAAATTCTTCTTTTATATGCTGAATCGAATGTGCATAGTCCAGCCCAAAAAGGACCTACAATTTAATGTATACCAAGTTAGATTCGGTAACCTCACCAAAACAAAATGCAGTTCGCAACTTTCCACAACTTATGGACATTGGCAAGAATCTACATTCCACTAGTTAATAACTGAATCAAGTAAGCATATCATTGTACGATTTCTAGTACTTAATGCGACCGAAATGATTATTAGCGATCAGCCGATACTGAATTGAAAGCGAATAATTATGATATACCAAAACACGCCTCCGATTTTCGAGAGCATAATGTGATAGATTGTTCACACAATCAGGCACACTGATGGGCGCCTTCCCGAAAACAAAGAAAGCTGGAAGCGTCGTTGTCCTGTCAAAACTCAATCAAGTAAGAGAGATGAATGATATGAGCCTGCCTTCATTCAATCAAGTAACACTAGTGGTGAATACTCACGGGCTGAGGCAGGTGTGGCCGTAATGAACAACACAATCAGCATCGACGTGCGACGCTCCCACCTCGTCCACACAGCAACTACCGTAGGCCGTGTCCGCCATCACGAACAAGGACACCTCCGGGACGTCGTCGGTTAGGTCGGCGCTGGGTTTTCTTAGTGAACGCAGCTTGGCCCTCAGAGCACTCACCACTCTCACAGAGTCCTTCAGAAGCTCATCCGGGAACTGACATTCAATTCAGTCCAAATTCAAATTCAATTGATCAATTCAATGAAGATTGAAAATATGTATATATATATATATATATAATATCTATATATATATATATATATATAAAATATCTATATAATACCTGTAAAGCAACCCTGGTGAAGTTGTTAGTGTGAATGAAGTCGGCGGTAGGAGCAATTTCGTAATTTGATTCAAACTCCATGACCGAATGAAATTACTCTGAAACGACAAGCAAGATTAAAGCTTTTAGCCCTTGAAAAAGTAGATTTTCAAGAACTCTTTTTCTTGCTCAGGAAGAAGATGAACTGAAGGAGGAGAAGGGGGAATGGCTGCTACTCGCTTCGATTGAGTACGGACTGAGGAGACTGGACTGAACAGGTGGGAAGGCCCAGGCCTTGGGGCTGAGGTGTACGGGGTTTCATCTTCAAGGCCCGTTTCGAGGTCCAAATTGGAACAAGGATTGTCAAATTAATTAGGGTTTGTTTATTGAAGTCTTTGATGTGGGTCCAATTTTATAAGCATGTTTTGATATAGATCTAATGTATTGCACAGTCATAAGTTGGGTCTAATAAGTAGAGCAATTAAAATGTCCATAATTTGAAAATAAAATTGCACCGACTGTCGTTGAATGTTTTATCATGACTCTTCCAGAATTAACATGGAACTTTAAGTTACACATCAAATCTCGTCATTTCATAAATAAAAAAACTCTCATCTTTTTTAATGTAAAATATATCGTTGTATTAAAAAAAAAAAAAAAAAAAAAGTTACTCATCAAATCTCATCGTTTCATAAAAAACTCTATCTGACTCCTGTTTTGAATTTTCCTCACGATTCCTGGAGACTAGTATCCAAATTTGAATTTGAATTCGCATGAAGCTATGAGAAGTATAAGTAATTTTACATGTTTTCGTTGAGTCGTTTACAACAATAAGCTTCATTTTTGCTGGTATTTGTTACATGATTCTAGTCTACATGATTCACATGCATTATACATTGATTGTCTTATGTAAGTAATTGCTTAAGAGGCTTTTAACATTGATTGTGTTAGCTTCGGGGGCTTTTAATATTACCAAGATGGAGGACTACATCTTACTGTTAGAATCATGTAAAATTACTTAATCCACCATGATAGGTAGTTACAATACGATAGGTAGTTTAGCTTGTACAAGTACTTATATGGCAGGTAGTTCAGACTATAAAAGTACTTATATAACAGGTAGTTTAGATTATAAAAGATCAGTTGAAATCTAAGTTTATGTCGACTAATATTATAATATGATAGGTAGTTTAGCTTGTACAAGTACTTATGTGACATGTAGTTTAGACTGTAAAAGTACTTATATGATAGGTAGTTTAGATTGTAAAAGATCAGTTGAAATCTAGGTTTATGTCGATTAATAGGGTACCTAAGTTGAAAAAAAAATAGAAAAATAATATAACTAATATCGAGGCTCCCCAAGAGATTTATGGGTGTCCGAAATTTTGGAAATGTCCTAAATTAATTTTAGAAAATATGTGGTGCAAATAGAATGACTCTAACTTTGGCTTATAGCACACAGTTTTTTGTGAAAAAAAAAATGAAAATTTTAGCTTTAAGAAATATTTTGTGCTGGAGTTAAGGAAAATATTGCAAAACCTTTGGATGTGATCCTACCGATTATTAGGTCTCGAAATTATTTTTTATTGATTCTTAAAGTGAGACAATAGAAAAATATCTTTAAATTTAGGTTTTAAATCATTGATTACAAGTGTTTAAAAATGAATTTAATATATTTTGCACAGAAAATATATATTTTGAAAAACACGAACATGATAGTTTGTTGTTATGGTAAAAGAAATAAAAGAAACATTAACAAAATAAAAAATAAAAATAAAAAACCGACAAAGAAAAAAAGAAAAAAAAAATTGAAAAGGGATGGATCAGTAAGAAGATAGCGACTTTTTACCTTTAGTCGCTACTTTTATAGCGATTATATCCATGAAAATTGCTAGCAAAGTACCGATCATATGTTCTTTTTTTTTTTTTTGCTTTTCTTTTCTTTTTCCATTGAACAGCTATATTAGAGTAAACTAGTAATCACAATGCAAAGTATCAACCTAACAACAAAAAGTGTTGAAACATGGAGTCCTATTCATGGACCTAAATAAAAAAATAACTAAAAATTGGACTAATCATTGTTACGCCATAAAATTGGGAAAGGGATCCTTTCCGGATCTCTTCCACCAAATCCACCCAATCACCTAATTCGGACCCTTGAAATTTAGTCCAACGGCTAAAGTTATTATAACTTTTAAAGGGCCCCCCTGTTTATAGTCGTTGGATCAAATTTCAAGAGCTTGTATTGATTGATTGTGTGGATTTGGTGGAAGGGATCCGAAGAGGATATTTCTCCATAAAATTGGACCTATTTCAAGTTAGTTTATTTACACATAACGGATTTGTAAGGAAGAAGTTAATTTAAACCACATATTAATGAAACTCTTTTTGTCAACTATAAGAGGGTGAAAAAACAATTTTGTCTTCTATCACAAAATAAAATTATGGACAATAAATTAATTTGCACAAACTAAACTTTACAGTTGTTTTTAAAAGCATCATCTACATGTAATCCTAACAAATCACCTACAAGAACTCCGGATTTTTACGGGTGTATTGTTTTATGAAACTTTGAATTTCTATGGCACTTATTTTCAAAACTTCAAGTTCAAGTTTAAAGTACGAACTCTAGGTTCATGATACCTACAAACAATCACAATATACATATGTAGTGAACGGAAATAGCTTCGGAACCTATGTGTGAAAAGAATGAGTGACGACCCAAAATATGGGGCTTTCGTGGCTTGCAGGCCCAAAAGAATGATTGTTGGCTTGCTGGGCAACAAATGAAAAGTAAATGGGTTAACATATTATATACTGAATTATTGGGCTAAGAAGGAAAAGTGAAAAAATAAGGTCTAACCCATGAGCTTGTTATTTGATGCAAGCCAAAAATAAAACAAGGCCCAAAAGAAAAAAAAAAAAAAAAAAACAAGTGGGACGGTTTGGTGCATATGCCTAAATTGGGTTGCGAGTCGACTGCAGGCAGCCCAAGTCCATAAGGAAGGTGATGCAAAACGGCTTTGTTTTGGACCTTAGAGTTTTGGAGTAGGAACGACTTGGTGGCTCGGGCAGCGCGACTTCAGGCTGCGGCTCCCGTGTGTGTAGGGTCTGAAAATTCCCATTTTTTTTCTTCTCTTATTCACGCATATTGAATTCACCACAATTATAAGAACAATAAATTTAAACTAAATTTATAATTTGAAAAAAAAACGTAAAATTAGAGTTCATGCTTCATAGTGAATATTTCATGTAATCAATGCTGAAAAAATATCAAAATTGAAACCATGTTTTATAGATTCTTTGGATTGCTTGATGAATATTGTGAACGGCTTTGTAGTAAACAAGCATTTAGTTCCTTAGCGCAGTATCAGGAGCGTGTTTAACAAAGTGTTATGGCCTAAATTTAACTGAAGAACAGAGGGGTGCAGCTGCATAAAGAGAAAAGATAGGCTTGGGAATTACTGTAATGATATTTCTCCGTACCTTGTGCCTTTTTTAAGAAAAATAATGGGGTTACTTGACAAAGTTGTGCCTTTTTATTTTTTGTAATTAATTCTTGAATTGTTTCCCACTAACATTAGTAGTTGTTACGAGACTATAAATACTCAAGTAATGATTTCTGTTGTGAAATTGGAAAACAACCACATATGGCTAAGGGTGGAAAGTGGAAGAATATGAGTCAAAATTATATTGCTTAAATAGTAGACGTTTGGTTTTTATTGTTTTGGTGTGTAAGCTTTTTACATGCATTAAAAGAGATGTCGAGTTAAAACCTCTATCTATAGAGGTATGCTTGTATCGTATGGGTAGTACAAAAAGATGAAAAGCAGAAAGTAATAATCATGCTTTCCTCATTTGTCCTTCTCTACGTTCATTTCTCATATCTGATACTAGGTAAAGAAAATAAATAGAATAATACATGACTTTTGTTTCACTTCAATCTCTAACAACTCTCGTAGTTCAATCTCCACCAACTCTCTTTTTGTCTTTCTGTAACAATTTCCATATTTTAAATTTATTCCAATGGAAACAAGCAGCACAAGCTGGCGCTATAGTAATTTTCATAGTTGACCGTCCAACTTCGCAGCTATATGAAATCGGATGGGCAGCACAATCTTTATGAGGTAACACAACATATAATTAGCGTTAATTATGTATGGGTTGGACTTAACCTGCAAGACTTAATGATTTGTGATTGTGATAGTCATTAGGTAGCCGGATTCTTAGAGAATGACTTACATAGAACGGATTTACAGTCATATCCTGTATCTAATAATACATTCTCAAGTGTCATTTTTTCTCCACATGACAAGGTATTATAAGATCAGGATTTCACGAGACAATGAACTCGTTCCATATAAGTTGATTTCAGATGTCGTTGTCAATTAAATGTAAAAAAAAAAATGACAGATAATAATACTGATCAAACATTGACTTAATAACTATTAAAATTAATATCACATAAGAAGCAAACAAAGACTTAAACATTGACTTCACTCTATATACGGTTACAATACAACAAGAAGTGAGATACACCAATGGCAATGGCGAAGGGCAACTTCAGCAGCAGCTGGTTTCTCTTGCACAAGATAACCATGACGAAATTTCATGGTTTGGCGGCCGGAAGGGGAACAAGTGCTGCTGCGCTGCACGTAATCAAAGCGAGAAGTTTCAGCGGCTCGTCAAACACGAAAGCTTTGCTAAAACAAGAATTGCAGAGAGAGATTCCTGGAGAGAGTAGCTCTGTCTGCATTTACAAAGTTCCTAATACATTTCGCCAAGTAAAAAGCAAGGCTTACCAACCAAGTATTGTCTCCATTGGCCCTTACCATCATGGACTGCCGAGCTTACAGGAAATGGAAAAACTGAAGCGAGTATACTTTCAACGCGTCTTTAAACCAAAGCCAGAAGAACTGGATCAGGCGACCGAGGCAATGCAGAAACTAGAGGAGGCGGCTCGGAGCTGCTACTCCGAAGAATCCAAGCTATGCAGCGACGAATTTGTAAAGATGATGCTCATTGATGGTTGCTTCATCGTAGAGTTGCTCAGAGACTCGATGCATCAAGATTTCGTTCATACACCCTCCACCATTAAACGGTGGATGCTGCCAACCCTCCGTCAGGATTTAATCAAGCTTGAAAATCAGCTCCCTCTGTTTGTTTTACGTGAATTGTTTCAGCTGACAGCGAGAAGCTCTTGTTTTTCTTCTGAGCACGAGCGACCAGCATCTTTGGAACTGGAAGCCCTTGCCCTTCGCTTCATTAACCCGCTACTGCAAGGACATCTAGATCCGAACAAGCCCTTGGAACATTTTACACCAAAACAGTTACAAGCAGATGAAGGCAAGCACAAGCACTTTCTTCATCTTTTCCACCATAGCATCCGTCCAGACCATGAAAAGGGCTTCTCTACCCTTCCATGGCAAGAGCCACGAGGGAAGCAAACCCAGCTGATCCGGTCCATACAGGAGCTAAAGGAGGCTGGTGTCAAGCTCAAGACTGATATGAATCGTCAGCCGTTAGATATAAGTTTCAGAAGCACGCTGAGGGGAAAGGTTCTGACTATCCCTCAAATACACATCGATGATCATAGAGGTACTTTGTTTCGTAACCTGCTGGCATTTGAAAAATGTCACCGGAATTGCCATCCAGATGTTACAAGCTATCTGTTTTTTCTCGACGGTCTGATCAATTCATCCAAGGATGTAGGGCTTCTCCACTATCATGGAGTCCTCCAACATTCTCTAGGCAGCAACAGAAGCGTGGCAAAACTTGTCAACAACCTCTGCAAGGAAGTTGGTCCGGATGCATCCCAGACATACTTATACAGGGTGATTGGCGATGCCAACTTCTACTATGATTCTAAACTTGCAAAAGTAAGAGCAGCATTGGTGCACCACTATTTAAGTAGCTGGGTTGTGGGCATCTCAACGCTCGGTGGAATCTTAGCTCTTTACCTCACCTTTATTCAGACCGGCTGTGGAGTTGCCACTGCCAAAAAGGATTTGGAGCACAAGTTCAGTTTCAGAGCCTTTCTCAAGGATTCGTTGTTCATAACATATCTGGAAAAGCTTCTGGTCTTCGGTAAGGATTTGGAGCACGAGTTGCTTTCCGGAGCCTTTCTCAGTGACGAGCACAGTGACGAGGCCCTTAAAGCCATGGGCTGGCCACATGATTCAATGTTTTAAGTTACCAGATCAGTTTGAGTTCAATGGTTGATTTTCGTTTTTAGTTTTTGTTCTGAATTACGACACAAATAATTGACAGATTATCAGTTTCGGGTGTTTTCTCTTCTTTTTAATCTTTTTGGGTCTGAGACGATTATCAGTTTGAGCATATGGTAATGTAACTTTGTTTGAAATTCAAATGAATGATGTACAAAACTAAAAGAAGGGAAAAGAAAAATATACATATTGTTTCCGTTCACTTGCGAAGATAAATGATGGCGTCAAAGCGGAAGTTTTCACCTGCTTCGAAAGCATCTTCAAGATCTTCAAAGCTTTGCTCCACTCTCAAGTCCTTTCTAACCTCTAAACCTTCCTGCACCAATTAAAAAATCAAATAAATAGATGTACATAAACTTGAGTTTCGTTGAAGAAAAAGAAATAATCCCTTGGCTCACTTATGCAATGTCAAGGCAATTAACTCCCAGGGAGCAGCATTTTTACAACTTCATGAAGAAGTTATAAACATTCATGGTTTGATGGATAAGAAAACATCAAGCGTCTGATCTGTTAGGCTGATAGCAACAGAAATGTGATACAAACAAAAGGACAAATTTCGTAAAACTGAGTTCATTCAATTTAACGAAGCGGTTCAATGCATTTTGAACCAGTATACTTGGTCATAGTAAATCTAACAACAACATACAAGAATTTCCCAGATGAAGCATGTACAAGAAAAAATAATAAAATTTCAGAATACCAAACGACTACCTTCTCTACATATTCAGCTACCGTCGAATTGATCACTTTCTTGATTACTTGCTTATAAACTTTCGAAGGTCCAAGGACTTCTAGTAAAATGTCTTTAGGTATCTGCTAGACAATAAAAAGAATGAGTAAAAGGATGCAACTGTACAAATGCAATTATACATAATTTACTGAGTGCTAGAGTATAAATGCATACAATTGTATGTGTAAATTAACAAGTATATATATATATACCATGAAATCTGTGTGTGTGTGTGTTTGACAGACTGGAGAATCACAAAAAGTTAAAAACAAAATTAAGTTGCTGAACAGAAGGATTCAGAAGGAAGCCAGTAGTTTTCTGTATAGGTGTGATCGATATAACAAAATTAAGTTGTTGATTCATATGAAACTAATCATATCCAAGTCAACATGTTAACTGCAGCGGCATACTTGGGAATTAAGAACTTACATTGGGTGTTTTGCCTGGTAGTCCAGGTTTCATTTATCGGCGAAAATAACCAGGGGAAGAAATCAAGAAAAAAAAAAAGTTAGAATTATCTGGAAGAAGGAAACAAGACATGCAAGAATAAATATGCTCCCAAATTGTAAAAAAAAAAGAGGTGAAAAGGTCCTTGTTAATAACTCCAAAATCGTTTCTCTTCACAAATTTAAATAATGACGTAAGCCACTTAATTTGCCACTTAATTGACACTTACAACGTTTGAAGAATGAGTGAAGATCATCATAAGTAGTTCACACTATATGAATATAATAGAATTCTAAAATCTTACCTCCTTTCACTCTTCGGAATCCAGGTATCGGTTGGGCTGCGGTAACCATTTTATTAAAAACTTCGTCGAAAATTGCTTGAGTTTTAGCACCAGATGCCTCTACGTTTATCTGATGAAAAGATTTTTATACGGTCAAAATTTACAACCATTTAAAAATACAAATATCTCAATAGAAATGCGTTTATCATGAAACAAGAACAGAGAGCAAAGGTCATCTTGATCATTGTTTGGGCCTAAATATCTTCACATTGTAATAACTTTCCCTTCCATCATCCACTTAGGAATGTCGTGTTCTTACTAACCTTTAAAAATATAAAAAATAAAACAAAATAGAAAAAGCTTCCCAACTGAAATTATGTTGTTGTCATACCTTCAGTTCACCAGCATCATTGGCACCTGAAGTAGTAACAGTAACAGGCAAGTCGTCAATCTGAGATGAAGATACTCCATTGTCTTCTGTGCCTATGTTAAGTGAAACCAAGGGTTAAAAATACTTGGCAATTGCATAGAGAAGTAACAGCACTGGTTTAATAGGACTAGGCACTTAGGCAGAAAATACTTGACAACCGCACCGGATAATACAGCACAAATTGGAGGAAAATACTTGTGACTTTTCCTGTAAAGGAAATTCAGAAATTTAGAACTCAAATATTGATTCAAAAACAATAAACCGCTCATTTATAAACACGTTACCCTTAGTCTGCCCCAATAATTTAATTAAGCAAACAGAAAAATAAATATAAATAAAAAGAACTAAACCAGTCTGATAACCTTTTTCATATTCTGTTGAATATATATAAGAAAAACTCATACAAAATTGAAAAAGCAACATTAGTGCCTGCATACAAACTATGACGAGCTTTCGGAAAACTCACTAACTAGTAATAACTTGCTAAATAACCATATACAGATCAAATTGGCTGTATTATCCTCATACAATATTGTGACTCAAGCATGCATTTAATTAACACCTTCGAATTCTGCGAAGCTCAAGAATAGCTTAAGAAGTTACTATGGGGCATTCATTTAACTTATCTGAACACAAAATCTGTGTTATAGGATAAATATGAGAAAGGTAAGTAGTACAAGTAATTATTACCTTCTGGAAAATGCTTGAGCAGCATATGTGATGTGATTGGAGGATTTTGCCCTTGTGCAAGTAAGGCTTGGAAAAGAGCCACCAATTTTCTGATCGTGCCTAATTACCTGTACAAAAGTAAGGTAATTTGAAGAGTTCGTTTGTCTGTCGGAAAACAACTTTCATGAAAAATGTACATACTTTAAGCAATTCACTTGCTGTTAACCGGAAAATGGATATACAAAGTTAATTCCCGTGCAACCAATCCGGCTATATCGGAGTTAATCACGCGAAACCACCAGAAGGCAGTAGAGAAAGGGAGCAAGACATGAATAAAAACCCATGAACAAGGGTTTTGGTAAAGCTTATTGTATCCAAGCAAAAATCTTTTCGATTTTAATTTGATTTTGAAAACATTAACAGAAACAACATTACAAATTGTACACAAATACTTGTCTTCTGGGTTCGAATTCGATACAAAAATGAAGAAAGAACATAGAAACAAACACAAAGTTTCAAACTTGACAGTTCACACTGACTAAACAGAATTAACAAATCCAACCCAGTATTTGAGTAGTGATTATAAACGTAAAAATGGATAAGAATGTCATACAAAATTGATATGTTGAAGAAAAAGGAGAGAAACAAACAAAAGAAAAGAAAAAGGAGGAGCTTGTTTGTTAACCTTAGAATTTAAACTCGAGAAGGGGAGGCTGAAATTAACGGCTATTTCCATGATCTCCTGCAATTCTGCCTTCCCTGTAATATCAGTTTCACTGCCACGCCCAGCAGCCGAAGAGCATCAAACCCAGAAGCCACCAAATGTATATGTGTTGGTAACTTGGTGGGGTGCTTTTGGGGCCAAAGCAGTGCACTGCGTTGAAGATAGGCACGGTTGCAGGACAGAGAGGTATCCGCCACGCCCGACCCGATAAAATCTGTGCGCCAAAAATGTGGGATGAATGGATCAGACCCGTACGCTCGCAAGGCCCAATATTTAGTCGTCTTTAGGTTAAAAGTGATTTTTGAAATGTGTTACGTAGTGTTAATTTTCTCATTTTGTACTACGGGGAGCTGAATGGTTGAAATTTATGCCTGATGTTTTGTCCTTTCGTTGAATTGATGACACAACAAGAGTCTCGTCCATTTATAAGTTAGCGTTAGAAGTCACAGGTAAATCAGGCATCATGGAGCTTCACATTCTCCTTAATCAATGTTTTATATTTTGAAAAGACAATAAATCACGTGTTTAGTCACAATGATGTAAGCATGGCTTGTAAATACACATCATCAGTTTAACCAAGGTTCATATGGTCAAAAAGATAGAAAGTCATAAGTTGATACGGCAAGTGACCCTCTACCATAATGGTGGAGATGAGTATTGCCCTTGCATCATGGCTTGGGGTCAAACTATGTAGGCAAGTGGCCCTCTACCACAATGGTAGAGAGGAGAGGATTGTAAAATGTATTTAGCCCAAAAAAATATTCAGTTTGTTAAAATAGCTAATAATGTTGGAGATGTTAGGTAATTTTCATGTTTTACTGCCAGCTGCTTCATACTACTATTATATTGTCAATGTTGTGCTTTTCTTTAGACAACAATGAAGATGAACAAAACTTAAGGATGTTAATTGCAATTAATTAATAAATGTAATTAATTACATGAGATTACTTTAACTAAATCTCATGCAGTTAACTCTCACTCTTTCACTCGTAAAAAGAAAAAAATGTTTTGGGGGGAGAATTTCTACTCTTGTGTAAGCTACATTATAACTTCATCTTACCAAGAGTGGTGAAGTGCCACACCCTAGATGGCGGGAGTCCAGTAGCCAAAAGCATCACTAGCTTGCACTCTGTCCCGAGTAGCATGAGACGTATGGAACCTTCAATTTGACGGAGATGAGATTCTAACGTTAGAGAGTGCTAGCACAACTCTCGCTTCATGGTTATCTCATCTTTTCGACAACAAATTTAAAGAAGAAATTGAGGGTTTTCCCTCCAAGATGTAAAGTTTGTACGAATCAAAGTATGGGGTTCGTAGACAAACTCCTCCCTTCTTTTGTTTTGAACAAAGTTTTGGTTCATCATTCTATAATTCTTGAAGAAAATGAGAAATGATTTCGTTTTCAAATGCACGCAATTTAACTTCCACTCCTTTAGTTAATTTTAACGCATGAATTATTAAAAAATAAAATTCTAAATTTTGCGAAAAGTTTCCTTCACAACAAGTATGATCGTCCAATTAGCAAAATAATAATATAACTACAATACTGTTGACCTATTTTCCGATAAAAGTCGTACATTTATAGAAACACACACAAAGAAGAAAAGACCACTTGGAGGAAGTGCCACCACACCAAGTTTTCATTCAAATAAAGTCTGTTTTGGTGCATTAGAAGACAAGAGGGTAACTTGGAAGCTGCCTGGGTATACCTATGAATTGTGAGATCTTTAACCAAAATGGTGGGTGGGTTCCAAATCAAATAGAGGCAACTACGAACTATATGCATACGTGACATTTGGGAAGAAAAAGAAAGTTTAATTGCTGAGAAAAATGATGGCCATTGTTTGAATCCTATACCCAAGAAGTTAGAATCATACCAAGTTGATTTACAAGTAGGTAACCAAAATGATGCACCTTCTATTGCTTGTCTTTTGCAACAAGCATAGGCGCTTCATACTCCGACCAAATCCAAACTACGTAACTTGATTTTGGTTTTCAAGTTTGTTCCATAAGTAAAATGCTCTCCTGATGATTGGATCAGCTGAAAATCCTTCCGCATATGCACTTATAGCAGTTAGGAGGCTCGTGAATTTCTCCCCGTTGTCCTGTAACCATCCGAAATTTTGAATCAGCTCCTCAAATACAGTCACACTTAATGCTAAATGTATGCGCTCTAGCATATGTTTAAATTAGTTAAGCAGGATATAGATAAAACTCAATCGCTTTGTACTTTTACAAACATCTTGAACACTGATAAGCTTTGGGGTTTCTGGATTCATTTTCAATATTCAAACAACATCTAATCTAAGATAGCTTAAAATTTGAAGATATCAATGAATTTCACCAAGGGAAATATGTATTACAACGTAGTTAAGTGTCTGAACGAAGTGGCCTCTACATACGTTACTTCTTCCTCCATGCAGATAATACAATATGCTAAATCAAAAGTTATGCGTGGTCTATTAATATAGTATCACAAATCAAACAAGAAGTTCTACTCAGATGACTTGCTTTATGGGATTGTATTAACTAAATACTCCAAAATTATAGTTACGAAAAGAAGATAACATCGTTTAAGTCTAATTGCACAAACCTCAGGCTTCTGAAATGTCAGATCTTTTGTGGCAAAAGGTACCATGTACAGTGGAAGATCAGATCGTAGTAGTGCCTGTCATTATACAAAGGAAGTACATATCAAATGATTATACAGAGGAAGTGCATATCAAAACAATATTAACATCTGTTGTTAAAGAGTATTAGCTATATGAATGAAAATTACAACCAGAAGATAATTGCTCTAGCCAGGAAAAAATCAAAATCTGCAAAAATAAAGGGTGCTGTTATTGGCACTTCAAAATAGTCAAACTGCGCTCCTTTAAAGAAACTTAGGAGAGAAGTAACACGAAAGAGTGCAGAATGACTTTTTGGGAATGCCAATAACAGCTCCCAAATAAATTATACAAAATCCTATATTAGTTAAATTCTAATTTAGAGATTTCAGTCTTACTTATTTTATACATTTTTTTTTTTTTCCTACACGTAATAGTAATACATAACAGAGTAACAAGAAAAGAAGTGTACTGAAGACAGACTTGAACTTGGTTCAAGCACATATGCATAGGTTAAAATCTTTTCATGGTTACAGCAAATGTCTGGACTTTGTTCAGATTGCTCGACCTTCTATTAGTTTGGCTTTGATAGACTACTCAATTCAAGAAAAAGCTCAAATGCAAACTGATGAGGTAGCTTTTCATTTTTTTATAAGATGAAAATCATTGTAAGTGAATAAAGGGAAGATTTTTGTAATATGAGAAGACGATTCATATTATAAGAATATGCTAAACGGGCTGAAACTCTTGTCAAGGTTTCTTCACAACCTTGTCCATAAGCATTATCTTTTTGTTTGCTAAACATGTTTGTATGGCTTTGACTTGGTTCACTAATGGGTTTAAGCTTCGGAAGGAAGCTTCAGCTTGAATTGATTCTTCAACACACAAATATTAACAGGCTTGTTCTCAAGTGAACCTTGAGCTGTCCGAGAGCAGAAAATTATAAGGGAACATCAGTCCTCACCACACAAAAGTAGTACATTAACATGTAGTCTAAGTTGATCACTGACAAAAAATACAGATTTACAATGCTTTCATCTTTTCTTCTGATTATCAGAATTTGATTTTTTTTTTTTTTTTTTTAATTTGGTAAACGAGGACTAAGCCCAATTTTATCATGAACAAGAATTCATTTTTAACAATAATAACTAATTATTAAGATAAATGCGTGTTTATCTTTTATGAAAAAACAAAACTGTTTTTCATAAAAATGGGCAAACCCCCAATCCCTTATGAAAATAGAAAAGGAAAGCTAGAAGAGAAACTGGATAAAGAAAATACGATTACCAAGTTCTTGCTCAAGAGAGCCTGGTCAGCATTTTCTATCAAGGCCTGCAAGGAGAAAACAGATACAGCATTGTGAGTTAGGCATGATAAGTTCTGAACAGTTATAAATTAGCTTACAGCCTGGTAATACTGACTTTCCAAGCCATTTAAAGGCATACACCTAATCTGATAACCTCAGTAATCCAAGGAAACTTTTCTGAGCACATGGAGAACAAATTGAAGCATTACTTGGAGTTTAATAAAATGTGGATCCAACTGCAGGAGGATCCATGCAAATCTCTCATCTCTACCTGTCGGCCAATTTACGGAAAAAACCCAACCGGGACAAGATCGGCTTCCTTATTACTGATCCAGACAAAATTCATCAAAACTTGAATGTGTGAGGGGCAATGGAATTCAGTTAGAATTAGGTTTAGATTTGTGAACCGAATTCAATGAGAATTATAGTGTATTTGTTCCCTTTTGATTTAAAATCTCTTTTGAACTCGAAAGTGATTCTATCTGGCATAAAGTGATTAGAACCAAGTATGGTCTCAGTGACAACGGCTGGGATTCCAAGATAGTGTGGTATGGATCAAGTAGAAGTCCTTGGAAGGATATTTCCCACGGTTATAGTTATTTTCTGGAGTGTTGCCGTTTTGTTCTTGGTAAAGGAGATCGATTTAGATTTAGGGAAGACATTTGGCCGGGCGAAAGCTCTTTACAATTCTCATTTCCCGGGCAGTTCAACATTCCCATGTTTCATAACAAGAGTACTTCTAGTGTAGTGAGTTTTGTTGAACATTCTCTGAATTGGGACTTTGGCTTTCAAAGGAATCTGTGATGTGGAACTAGATGAGTTGTCATCTTTCTTGACAAGATTGGATCAGACTCGCATACACCCTTCAAGGGTTGATGCAAGAAATAGGATTCTCGATTCTTCAGGAAGCTTCTCTGTTAAATCTTATTGCGGTTTCCTACTCAAAAACGGTGCAGATAGAGGTTTTCAGGCTTATGGCTTGGTTTGGAAATCTAAAGTTCCTACTAAAGTGAAGGTTTTTACTCAGTTGGTGGCTCATGGAAAGTTAACATTTGTGACATGCTCCAAAAACGGAGACCTGATTCCTGTACTTTACGCAACAAAAGTTCAGTCTGTTGATCATTTGTTCTTCACTGTCCGGTGGCTATAAATCTATGGTTGAAGTTGTTTCGGGAGTTTGGTGTCAGTTGGGTTTTACCCAGGGAATGTTATTCATTTAAGGTAGAGAAACATAAATTACTAGGAAGGGGGAAGAAAGCCGAGGTCTTATGGGGTAATGTAGTTTCAGCTACTTTTGGGTCATTTGGATGGAAAGAAACATGCTCATTTTTAGGACTGTGAAGTCAGTAGGAGGGAGGATCTTTGGGATAAAGTTGGGTTATGGTCATCTCTGTGGGCATCAGCTACTACACAATTTTGAGATTTTTGTTTTTCCAGAACTTTGCATAATTGAAATGCTGCTATTAGTTAGTTTTGTGATGCTTTGGAAGTTTCTAAGTGTCAGGGTGATGTTGCTATTTATCCTGTTTTGTTTGTGCTTTTGCGGACTTCTTGTCCGCTCTTGTATATTTAATGTTTCTTAAAAAAACAATGCAATCTCAGTCCCAATTATTTGTAGTCAGGTCGTGCTGATCCATGCTTCACCCATAGTGATTAAAACCCCAGTAGAAGATCTCAAACTGTGATTAACGGTCCAGACAGGTTGAATCAATCAGAAATAATCTGGGTACCTAGTTCACCCCAGCTTATCTCCATAAAACCATACTAGCTTTTTATTCTTTTGATAGAAGGTTGATAAACGAATGAAAATTTATTTTAAAAGCACTTGATTGTTTATGAGATTGTTAATTAGTCATTAACAATAGCATTACCTTTCTTATTCGTTCCTCTTCAACTTGATCAACACACTGCAATAAATTCTCCAATGTGCCTGTCCACAGAAGTGAGATTATTTATTACTATCCACAGAAGTGAGATTATTTATTACTACCAAGCAATATAGTCCCTGTATCCAGTAACTAATTAGAAAAATTATCAAGCATATATACGGACATGTAATACCAGGTGACTTAGAAAAAATTATGTAATACAAAGGCGCAAATTCGGTATTTAAAAAGCCATCTGTATTGAAATTTAAACTTACTGACAGTACTAACAGAGCAGGTTTGAAAGTCCAAGCTTTCTTGGCAATCATATAGAGCTTAAACATAGTAAAAATTTAGCATTACTTCAGTTGGAAAGAAAGGCTACACATTATTAGAATGGTGCATTTATTATTTGTATTCTAGGTACACAGAGATCAGCACCACATTAAGCAGTTGGGCATTCAGGAAAGGCTATTACTACTAGAACCATGCCAGTTCAATTCCAAAGAAAGTAAAAAGATGACATGTTTTACGCACCAAATTTAGAGATGAGTTGCACAGCATGAACATTTCCAATTCCATGGACTCCTGCAATTATAACAACCAGGTTCGAAACATAAAATCCAATGATCATTTTTCTCTAGGAAATACAAAAGATATAAAAAAATATATTTTGAAATTTCCAGAATCCTTTTCCAAAATTAGAGATTCTTATAAGCAATTGTTATTCATTAGAACTCCATTTTCTCCCAACTAAAGGACAAGGATCCACTAACCACTCGTTCCCTGCCCAAGTGAAAGTAGATTTCTGTCTCAAGTCATCAGTATGATGCCAAGAGAACTTGTGAAGATATCTACGATTTTTCTTTATTCAAATCAACTCAATTACAACATTTTAAATAAATGCTATCTTGCATTTCATTTTTAAAATATAAGGAATGCAGGATTGGCACTTTTCCCAGGATGGACACTGTTCTCGTATAAAAGTTCTGTCCTGAGGCTGATGAATGGAATCTCAAGCTACAGAGAAAAATCACTGAATTTCATCTCGTCACTAGAAATACCCTTGCTGCCATTCATCAAATATCATGCTATAACTAAATGCTTTCTGTAGCTTGAGATGCTATTCATGCTGATGAGATGGTATTCATAAAATAATGCATCGAATATCATGCTATAACTAAATGTTAATAACTGGACGCTTATCCTGTAAAAATAAAAACAAAAAAATAATCACTTTCCTCCCTTCTCATTTGAGTTTTCACAAAAAAAACAAAATGAAAGTAACCTGGAATATTATCAGATTTGTCACCGACAAGCGAGATCACATCAACAAACTGAGAAGGTTGAAGGCTTCCATATTTTTCAGCAAAATCCTCCATTCCAAATGAAACCATACTGCGAAATCAGTAAACATACATCAGAGCTTAACTCTACTAATCCAAATAATAATAAATAGAAAGATATATGCCTACAAAGTTTGGGAATTTAAATAACTTTCATCCTTCACAAAACTGTCAAAAGAGAAAGGAAAAAATGGTACACATCACCATTTTCTTAACAAATTATCAAGAGATTATGCTATTTTAATTATTTTAATGTACAAGAAAATAATACTGATGAATTCTGCCACAGTATGAGAACTTTAAGAATCCTAAACCGATCAGACCACTTTTTCTCTTCATTTTTTGTTTTTATTTTGAGCGCAAATTTTTCTTTCATTTTTATATTTTTTCTGAAGAAACTTAAGAATTTTGAGACAGTCAATCGCCACTTAATGTTATCTAGAATTAAAAAAGCAAGGAATAAACTGAGCGGCAGAGGTATTATATGCTAAACAATATTACATGAATATACGAAGTTAAATACAAGCAAACATGTACAGATTTTAAGATTCTTATACAGATTAGAACATAAATTACTAAGGTCAATATTCAACAAGGTTACTTACTCAAAGCCACGTGGAGCAATTCGTAGAAGGCGCAATGAAGGAGATAGAATCTGAAAAAAGTCTTTGTCTGGGGAGACAACCCGTACCTATCAAAATTTAGGTCAATAAGAAAATGACCGAGCAAAAGAACTCATAGCAATTCTTTTCGATTTTCATATAACTATCACACTATGTTATCTGTATTAGAAAGCACGTCTCCTCATAAGTGCTTTTGCTAGAAGTGCAAGTATTAAAAATACATTGAACTTTTTATTAAAATCCAAGTGATTCCTAGAAAAACACTTGGGAGTGCTTGCTGAAGGAGCACATGTCGAGTGCCTTTCCAGAAAGTTCTTCTATGAATCCAAAATAATTTTAAGTTTTTCTACTAAATACAGTCAAAAGCACTTTTGGTTCATATGGGAAGTGCTTCTAAATGCCTGAAAGTGCTTTTAGAGAAAATATTTTTGGGTTCAAAAGCACTTGAAGTGCTCTCTGCAAGAAGCACTAACTAAGAAGCACAAGTTAGTGCTTCTTGCAGGAAGCACTTCAAGTGCTTTTCCAGGATTAACTTGAATTTTTACTAAGAATTGGTTTAAAAACATTTTCTCTAACTTCCCAAACGAGCCCAAAATGTCAAACTGCTAAACCATAAACAGTTTTGAGACAACGACTACAGCAAACTTGTTATTCACCCACTTCTAGATTACTGTTATTCACCCACTTCTAGATTACTAGCACAAACTATGAAACTGTTAAATCACAAACAGTTTTGAGACCAACTTTTTACCAACCCACTTCTAAACATTTGAACCCTTTTTGGGTTGTGACTAATGAAACAAGAATTCAGATTTGTTCTTTGTGTGTAACAAAAACAGAGAGAACACAAGATTCATTAGTCACAACCAAGCACAACCCTGGTTACAGAAGACACTAAACAAAAACCAAATCACTTTAACTAGATCACACAAAAAAAGTAGGAAACAATATATTTTTCTCTTTCTAATTACAATTAATCTCCAACACTCTCTCTGGAGCTGAGCACAGATTGAAGTCCCACTTGACAATCAAAGTGACCTATTTTCATATGGATAGAAATGAAATTTTTGTTTGTACCAAAAAAAGAAACGAAATTTTGTTTAATCATTGTTTAGCTACAACCAAAAATATAATCATACTGGGATAACATTAAGTATATTTAAAAAATAAATAAAGACATAGTTTTCTTTCATAAAATAACTTCAGAGTGTTACCTTGTACCCACTATCAACACTTCTAACAGCCAATGTTCCAATCACATCATCAGCTTCCACACCAGGCACCTGCCTTTGAGTAGACTCACGATCAATCACGATTCCCAAGATACCTATGGGGTCAACTGGTCATATAAAGCTGTGATATATAGCTATTACCTCAATCACCTTAATGGACATAGCCTTGATGGATGCTTTCAAGTATTGGAGTCCCTGGACAATGGTATCAGGTGTAGGGGGGCGATTGCTCTTGTATGCGGGGTACAGAGTGTGACGAAAATTCAGGCCTTCAAATAAAATAAAGATAATATTATGACACAACATAATCTCTTATTGTTTTAAAACAGTAGGTAACAAATATTAAGACAGAAAAATAATGCCAGGGCATCGAAACCAAAAAAAAGGGAGAACAAAGATATCAGTACATGCTAAGGTCAAAACTTACTTCACATGGTAAGCTTTAAATTACCTCCAAGGTAAAGGTGTACAGATGAAAAGATGAAATACATGATATAAAGCGAAATGTGACTCTAACTAACGATGAACGATGGATAAACATTTCCCAATTTACCTCCCATGTGGGTCCTAAGTCAATATGTGGAAGGGAAACAGGTCCTGGGTTTACTAGGTTCTATGGTAGGTACTTTGTTCTATGGTACAGGGTAGGTTCTAGTGCACATACTACATACATCATTAGGGGGTTACATAATTGGTTGATACTTTGGGCTGTAATTCATTGAAACTATAATCTAGAAAGGTTCAATTACTGTATAGTGTTACATATATTCTATAATACATTAACTTATGTTTATAAATTATATTTGATTATATATTAACAAACGAAGATTAATAGGAAAATAAATGATGCAGGCAAACCAACAAACTACCGCGACTTGCTTTCTCAGAACGGCCTACAATCTCAACTCCAACATGCAAACCAAGGGAAAAAATAAAACAAAAGAAGCATACCTTTTCCTTTAAAACTTTCGTTGGATGAATTACAAGTTTGACCAAATGAAACTCCTGAAAAGAGAATGCCCGTCTTATCAAAATTGGGCTTGGAAAAACATGCTCCCCTACTTACACATTGAGTACACTGTGTATGACTTCACTAGCTAAACCCAAGACTTTAGATGTATATAGCACTTAAAGAGATGGATGGTGATGTAGAGTAGAGAATTTGGTACAGTACAAGTAAATACAAAATATGAGAAAATCAATAAAAAATGAAGAGGCCAGCAAAGTTCGTATCGCACCATCATGGTCAAACACCACCTACATGAAAAGATGAAAAAAAAAAGAAGAAGAAAAAACAAGTTATTAGTTGTGCAATGTGCTACAACTTACAAGACAAAAGTGGGCAAATATGATATTCAGAAATTGAATAATACTCAAGGAGAACAAAAGGAAACAAGGTTTAATGGCTCCATGTCCTACTTATAAATAAAATTATTTCTTAGAACCACTATCTACATTCTATATGCATTCAAAAACATTTGACAGTTGAAACCACAAAAACTGAACAGCAATAACTAGTTGATGGACAATGAGGTAAAGAAATAATTTGGGAGGTAATACGATTCAATTAAGGAATTCAGTTAACTATGGCTTTCCGATTGGATTATGGAGCTACTTAATTTGATGTAGTTGATCATCTAGCTCTTCAAGACATGTTTGAATTATGAAATATTGAAGCCTCCCCATTGTTCTCTTTCAGAGTCTTCCCCTCTCCTTCTCCTCTCTCACCCTCATTCATTTCTCTCTTTTGTTTTCCCTACAAGTTCTGCAGTACTAATCCTTTTAAGTTTGTTAACCAAAGTGAATTGAGCCAATCAATATGAAACATATGGCCAGCCAACACCATAAAAATCGAAGAGAACATGCATGCTAGAAGTCTAGAACCTACAAGTGAAATACAATGAAAATACACAAAATATGTAATGGCATAAAATCATACCGCTACATGGGAAGGGATAAACATCAGGACATCAATTATCTGCAAGAAAATCAATTAACAGAAAAGGCCTTAGACCAGAAAAATTCCAAATGATAAAAGACAACAGTCTACTTTTGGTTTGGGTTCAACACATCCATAAAGACTTGTTATATAAAATTTATATACCCAGTTTATAGCCCTTTAGAAAGGTCCACGTAGACATTAATATGCTATATTTATAAGTATTTAGAGCAGGAATCAGATATCAGTGAAAAAGAAATTGTAACAGGAAAATTATCCTAACAGGAAGTTAGGAACCCGATACCCCATGGTTGTGCATATGGTCTAACTTAATCAAAAGATGCACAACCAAAACACTTCCAACTCAACCAAGTTACATCCTCAAAAAGCCCCGGAATGACATTATTTCAAAAATTATAAAATATATATCTTTTTAATTATTGTTGGGATCAGGATGCCTCGATTAAATAGAAAAGAGCAATAAAGTTTAATTTTTATTACACAATAATATATTTACACAACAATTAATGTATCTTTGCTGTTAACTCAACACTCTATGAGACATCACAACTTCTTGAGCATAAAACCTTGCAACTGAAGAGGAGAAAACATACGTTTTGGTTTTGTTCTTATTACAAGTACATGAAAAGGAAAAAACAGCAAAATGCTCAACTCAACCTTTTATATAAACATCACTTACAAGAGAAAGTGCTGAGAAGATGGTCAACACCCAATCTCCGTTTCCATCAGCATGTGACAAATGGCCATGATGCAGCTTTGCTACTCTCATCAACAGAAACAAAGATTAGTGGATACTATTGAATGAAAAAGAAAACAACATTAACGACATTCAAATCAGCTATGTTTAGTATGACTATGACTAAAAGTAACAGGTATCCCATAAAACCAAACTATCATACAATGGCGAATCTTAAGAATGTTCAAAATATTTCTTGTGCAAGTTTCAAAATATTTCTTGTGCAAGGTTCAAAATATGCAGAAACCGCCCGAGTATAGAACTAACATACTGCACCAACATTGCATATATGTGATCTTGTGCAAGTAAAAATGTTGTAAATCGAAAGTGATGAGAAAACCACTAGTGTTATATATATTATACCAAGCAAAGGAAGGAATTGTAGAGCATACCTAAAAGCTTATAGTATGCTCTATAAATGATGGATGTGCCGTCGATGAGCATTACTCTACCATCTGAAGGGTTACTGTTCACTGTTTTCTCTTCACGCTTGAACAAAGTTGAAGCCAGCAGCATGTCTCGGCTTACTACTCCCTCACTTTTAGAGTAAGAGGCTGCGGCGGCGGCATCACCACTCTCACTAACAACTCCCGGTGAAGCCGAATTAAAACTACGATTGAATGTATTGCAGTAGCCCTAAAATTTATGAAAATAAATTCCGGTTAAAAAAAAGGGGAAATTGGAAATTCAGAAGCTTGCCCAAGAACAAATTAGCTAGCATATAATACATATATATATATATGTATGTATACATATGTATGTGTATATCAAACAGCAGCAATTGCAAGAGTGACTTGTTAAAGGTAATTTATACCTTATGGGAAATTAGGGGAGAAAATCGGAGTGAATTTGGAGATTGAATGCTGCTTCTTCTTCTTGTTGTTCCTACGAATCTGAGGGTGAAGCTTCTCCATTTCCAGAGGGAAAGGGATTGAGTATTGTGAAGCAGCCAAGAGTGCGAATGACAACAGGCCATCGCCGGCGCTCTGCTGCTCAGTCACGACTCGCTCCAAATGACAAAAGCCGCAAGCTTTGGCTCCGCACATAAAACAGCATCACATCCTCCCGCCTCCCTCCCTAAACATCGTCTTTTCAGACGGACTTCCAGTTATACCCTCGGTGAAATAAGGCAGTTTTTTTTTTTTTTTTTTTTTTTTTTGGGAAAACCTTTCCGAAGAAAGGAGACAATTTTATTTCAAACACTAGAATACAAAGAGAGGCCTATATAAAAAGTACAAGACACACAAATGGACCTCCCAACAAGCCCAACAAAGATCAACAAAAGAGCCCAACACTAGAGACAAAACAAAAGACATTTCTTGACCCCAGCATCCACCGCTTTCAAAGTTTTCCAGATCAACCCAGAACCAATCCACCAGCCAACGCCAAATCCAATCGAGCAACTCCGCAAAACCGAGCCACGAAAGCTGTCCTGATCACCCCATTCTCAACTAGAAAGCGGAAGAAGTCCGAGGGAACACCCCGAACGACAGTGCGATCAAAGGCAGACAGAGAGAAGGAGGTGGTGTTGTGAACACCTGAGCCTATGAGTCCATCGGAGCTCTACGCACCCTCTCAAATGACTGCAAAAATTTGTCTTGAAATCTGACTGCAAATCGAATTGAAAGTAGTTGGGGAAGACATGCTTTGGGTAAAGACATATAGGTTGAATCAGGAAGAACTGGGGAGAAAAACTGAAAAACTAAGAAACAGACAGCGAAATGGAAAGCTTTTCGCCGACCCTCGCCACAACGAAAGCCGTCAGCAATGATGTTAGATGGTGGGAAAATCACTCACACACAGATGGTGGAAAAGACTCTCAAGAAAAGAGAAGGAACTCTCACATGAAGAGAAAAGTTTTGTTTTGTTTGGTTGTTTGGAAGTGTAAGACATTCACCTGTTAACATTGTTTAGTTTCCCACCCATAAAAAACTTTTAAAACAAAAAATTACCCTTGAAACAAAAAGAGCTGAAAATTTTTTGCCACTTAACTCATCAAAACGCGTCATTATGGTCATATTCGTCAACTCTATTAGAATTCCCGTCAAAATGACATCACGCACGTGAGGTCAAAATCAAAGAGCAATATATGGGAAACTAAATGAAAAATTTGTAAAAATAATCCCTCAACTTCAACCTAATTGGAGAAATTGTTCCTCTACTTTAATCCAATTAGACCAATGATCCCTCAACTTTTACTAAATTGTAGCAATGATTTTTCCAATTGACTCATTTCGACGGAAATTCTGACAAAGTTAACGAAAAAAAAATCATGGTTGCACGCTTTGAGGAGTTAAGGGATTAGTGGTCATGGATTTTTCGTTGAGAGACTATTGCTCTAGTTGGGTTAAAATTGAGAGACCATTACTCTAGTTAGATTAAAGTTAAGAAATCATTGCTACTATTTACTCAAACAAAAAATTACGCATAAATCATTAGATTGTACACTTTCAATGATTGAAATGTATTAATTAATCCAATTAATTTCTTTTATTTATCCCCTATCTATATCTATATATAATGGAAAAAACCTAAAAGGGTCAAGCTTTCATAATACTCAATTTATTCTTTTTTTATTAAAATTAAAAAATTATAAGTGGTTCATTATTTTTCAAATTATATTTTAATAAAAAAAACTAAATTAAGACAATAAAACAACTAATTGCCATAATACTAGCATTTGCATGCAAACTTTGTGTGTATGAAGACTTTTATTTTTATTTTTAAAATGAGAAGAAGAGAGGGAAAAAAATGGGAGTGGAAGGGAGGTTTTTGTTTTTTTTAATGTTAGATATCTTAACATCAATTGTAGCCAAGAGTTCAATAAAAAACAATAAAAATTTGGATCTATGAAATTATATTATTGCCTTTTTTTTTTATATAAAAAACTAAATGGTGTTTTCACTCTTTTTTAGTTGACAAAGAAATAGTTTAGATTAACATAACTGTAATAATTAATTGTTTTCCATTAATTCTCTCCTAATATTTGGGTCGTCTGCATATCTTTTAGTACTGGTTTGTTACTGATGTACTTTTATAAAAAGTGGGTAAAAAAAAAAAAAAAAACCTGAACTCTAAAAGTTAAATAACAGCTTTTTTGGATGAAAAAAAAAGCTGCAAATGTGAAGCATCAAAAATAAGCTTTGAAAGACCGGCTTCTTTTCGCCAAAACACAGATGAATAGTGTTTATTAAATGAACTTCCAAATTTCCAAACCTACCCTTACCCGTCTCTTCGTTATTCTCTCTCGTCCACTCCCTTTCTCCAACGCTCTCTCTCTGTTTGAGCTCGATCTCTCCCTCTCATTTGGTTTGGGCACTCTTCATCAATAAAAAGGTAAATTTCCTTTTTTCAACCTCTATTTCTGGGTAATTGGAATATTGAATTGAATAATTGGAAGGTAGAATTGGAAGATTTGGATTTCTGGGTAGTCTGGGTAATCTACAATTATGGGTAATCTAGGTTTCAAAGTATTGCAGTTGGCGACAATGTACTTCTTCAACGACATGGAAGACCACGGCTCCACCACGGCCATGGACGTTGACGCACTCGAGGCGTCCCGCGAAGGCGTCATGGGTGAAAGCAAGCTGGTTGATCAATACAGTACAGCACGAAGCCTCTAACATGGAGGGGAACTCTCCCATGACTTATCCCAAATCTCCATCGAGAGAGCAAGGATTGTGTTCAAGGGATTGTGATTGGTGTTGTTGCAGTGGTGGTCTTCGATAAATGAGTAGAATTTGTGACACACCCCGACCCTGAATGCCCACTTGGACTCTGAATCGAGCTGTGCTGGCCAACACCTGAAAGGTGATGAAGCCATAAAGTGTAGTGTAGTGGAAAAATGTGAATAAATTTAAATGTAAAAGTGCCTAAATATAAGAGTGCGCGGTGAGCAGGAATGAACCCAATTCACACGTGATAACTGAGCATAAATATTGTACAGTAAAATAGGTTGAGAATTTATACCATCAAAGGTAATCATCTACCCCAAGATTTGCCAAGAATCCTCGTTGACACGAGAGCACAACTACTAAACTTGAAGGGGCGAAAAACAAGGGTGAATGGGCCTGAAAATAAAGTTTTAATTAAAAACCTTTTGAAAACGTTATAATTCATTACCGTAAAACATGTATAGTTTCCAAAGTATACATACTACGTATAGCATGAAAATACTTACTGTAACCTGCAAAATGTAAATAAGGCTTGATATCCCAAAATCACAAAATCTCCACAGTAATATAAGTAAAATCATGTGCTCAACAACCTATGCTAGCACATCAGTCGGAGTCATCTAATGCAACCTGTACGACATGACTGGGTGTAATAATATATGCTCTAGCGCTACTATCACGTGAAGATTGACGATAATCGTGGTCACGTACGAGTCGGAGTCGCCTAATGCAACATGTACGACAAGATTGGCACCTACTTGAATCCAAGGTAAGCGTGCGGTGCGGGAGGTGAACATACACGTAAATGACTGGCCTTGGCGTGGGGCGGAAGCACTAACACCGGGGGTATAGCAATGATGAGCACTACATGACTATAAGCATGCCATAATGATGCAATACTTCTAACTAACATAATAAACTTACTTGTGCATCCCGTAGGATCATTTTGGCATTTCACAATTTTACAACAATGCAACATTTCTTAATCATGGCATGAAATGCATAAATCAATTCAAAAGCATTTGTGGAAACTATAAAATTTATATATATATACACACACATACTATAAAAAAGACTCACCTAGAGTTCGAGCTACAACTCCCTATCATGAATATTAAGGCGTCACAAACGATCATCACCTAGAACAAATAGCAAATCACGTTTCAAAATTCTTATTGATAGAACACGTAACTTACATAAAACACATACCCAAGGATGTTCTAGAATGATTTGAAACTCATTAACCAAAAATCAATTGTCGGTCAAAGATCGACGGTAAGGTCCACAACCCTGCGTAACTCAAACCGGAAGATATGCACCCCTGGATTTCCGATCCATAAATTCCAAAGATCCACATTATGCTTCTGGAACATCATACTAAAGTTTCATTACGATCCAACAGTTGGATCTCCGTCAATTGCAAATTCAAGTGGAGGTCAACGTTTTATTTTTTGAGCTTACAAATTCAATTTGGGAAGATCCGTATGTTGGATTTCTGATCCATAAGTTTCTAATATCCTCAAATATTACGTACTAAAGTTTGGTGACAATCTAACAATTGGATTGTCAATTCATTCAATATCCAAGTGGCGGTCTCTATCAAAACTATAGTCTTACGACGAGATTTTGTCAATCGAACACCACATATAAAGTCAAAGTAACCAAATTAGTCTAGGAAGGGCAGGTGAGGCCTCGGCCCACGCGCCGTCGTACGCCCTGGCTCACCGAAAAATTCAACTATTTTTAAAAATTACCAAATTTTACAGGAATGAAGATCTCAATGAGTAGAGCAAGTTTTATACTTGTGGCCAACACCAATTTGGCCGGAAAAGCCCTAAATCGTCTTAGAACAACAGGAAACCCTAGAAAAAGTGGAATTCGATTTGACTCTATTAATGTTCTGATGGCCTTGCTAGTGTATGGGCCTTGCTCTTGAGCTCAAGGGGAGTCAACTGGACGTGGTGGTTGAAGGAAATCATTGCAGTGCACCCATGAACCCGTATGGTTTGTTCTTCATGATACGGGGCCAAAACCCTTGCAATCTTGAGTGTAAAATGGAGAGGGAAGGTTGGTGGGGAGTTTTTAGGTGGTGATTTGGTAAAATTCCCAAGAAAAATGGCAGAGAATTGCCGGAAAACTCTTCGGGTTAGAACTGGGTTGGCGCGGGTTGCAAAGGAGTCCGAGTTGGTTCCCCTCCTTCTCCTTCTCCTCTCCTTTCTCTCATTTCCCCTCTCCTAATTGGGTAGTTCATTCTCCTTCCTCTCCGGATTAGGCAAACCACTTTCATCCTCTTTCCTCCAATTGGGTAGCTCTACCCAATCCCTTCTCCTCTGTTTCTCCTTCTCCCCGATTCCTTTCTTTTCCCCACTCAGCCACACACAAGTGGCATAAACAATTTAGTGATATAAAATAATATAAT